GGAGTGTACAGAAGGAATGAGAAAGAGAGAGAGAGAGAGAGAAGAAGAGAAAAATACACACATACAATGCACACAAATATATACAAAGAGAGAGAGAGAGAGAGAGAGAGAGAGAGAGAGAGAGAGAGAGAAAGAGAAGAAACGACAGATATAAGCGGACAAAAGAATCGTATGAATTGCTTGACCAGCGAAAAACGAGACGCAAGAGGAGTCTCTCTCTAAATTCCGAGTCGTACCTACCTATCTCTACCTATTTGCCTACCTACCCCCTATGTACGTATAGATAGGTGGTAGGTAGGTAGGTATATACACATATATACATGTACCTATGGATATATATATATATATATATATATATATATACTCTCTCCCACGACCGACGTCCGAAACGGGCAGCGAATTAAAAAGCTCCGATGCTTTGATCAAAGCTCGCGCACTGCAAATATTCCTACCCATTACGTACATAGTCCCTTGAAGCGTGCGAACAAGACTGAACAAATGTTCGTATGCCGTACGCATACGAGAAATTAAAAACTCATTCGTTACGCCCTTATTTTTCTTCATTTTATTATTTCAACGTTATTCTCTCTGTTCATTTCAAAGATACTCTTAATAATAATAATAATTATAATAATAATAATTATTATTATTATTAATTATTATTTTTATTATTATTAATATTATTATTATAATTATTATTATTATTATTATTATTATTATTATTATTATTATTATTATTATTACTATAATAAAAATAAAAACATATGGTCAGCTGACGTAAAACCTATGTATGATATTATATTGCTTCTCGTACTCTCGGTTCTCGTTATTATAAAAACAAAAATGAAAGGTAGAAAGAAAGAAAGAAAGAAAGAAAGAAAGAAAGAAAGAAAGAAAGAAAGAAAAAAAGAAGGAAGGAAGGAAGGAAAGAAAAAGTTTAAATTAAAGGGGGGAAACGTCGAGCAAGCATAATTGTCCACTTTGCTCGAAGCGGTCAAGGTGCTATCGAGACGAAGGATCGAATTCGAAGTAAACGATTGGTTGTACAGGAGGAAGGAAAAAAGAAGAAAAAAAAAAAGGAAGAAAGAAAAAGTAAAAGGAAAAAATAAACGTAAGAGAGGAAAAGAGAAAGAAAAAAAAAACAAGAAACAAAAAAAAAACAAAAAAAAAACAAAAACGAAAAAAAAAGGAGAAGAAGAAAAGAGAAATTATCCGTAAGAGAAACGTCTCGCGTGCGACACGATAACGATGACGTTGCTATTCCTTCGCATTTGCTAACGGTGAGTGTAACAACTAATTACGAATGACAAAAAATAAAAAAAAAAAAAAAAAAAAAAAAAAAAAAAAAAAAAAAAAAAAAAAAAAAGAAAATAAAGAAAGAAAGAAAGAAAAAGAAAATATTCGAAACAATCGAAGAAAAATATATTTCTAGCGTTGAGAATAAGAATGTAATATTTTAGCAATAATCGAATTATTTTCTTTCCTACAACGTAAAAATTAATAGATACGTAATTTACAAAGTATACTATAACTTTGTTTATTTATATAACAGAATATTGAAAATTGTTTCAGTGAATTGAAAGTAAATACTTCTACAACGTTATTTATTTATATTTCGAAGTATATTAAAAGTTCGTAATAAAGTATACTTCGTATACTGTGATGTTCATTTTATCTCGATATATGATAGTAAATATTATTTTTTTTTCTTTTTTTCCCCATCCCCAATAATGGATAACTGATCGTTTATTTATTTTTATTAATCGTCGTATAATATTTATTTTCATTTAGACGTGAAACATTACAAATTTTCAATGAAAATGATAATATATTATAGCGTCGTTTATTTAGATAAAAAACAATAAATATTATTTGTCCGAAAAAAGATTAGACACGTAATAATCATGCGTCATTTATTTATATTATATATATATATATATATGCAAATTTCGACATATAACATATTCTAAATGATTAGATATTTTAATAATAAATTATTTTTGATTATATGTCGTCTTATTTCTTTTATATCTTGTCCAACCTGATATTAATTCGTGGCAATAACTACTACTAATTCATTTGCATAATTAATGGTCAACGGTGAAACCGATAATAGTGACATGAAAAAAGAAACATATAGGCAATAAAAGTTGACGACGATCCTCCCTCTCTCTCTCTCTCTCTCTCTCTCTCTCTCTCTCTCTCTCTCTCTCTCTCTCTTTCTTTCTCTTTCTTTCTCTCTCTTTCTCTCTCTCTCTCTCTCTTTCTTTCTCTCTCTCTCTCTCTCTCTCTCTCTCTCTCTCTCTCTCTCTCTCTCTCTCTCTCTCTCTTTCTCTTTCTCTCTCCAGTGGACTTATCTTCGAATCGATTCACGAGTCGAATCTAATCTAATCTAATCGTATAGAATCGAATTGTATAGAATCGAATTGTATCGAATAGAGTCGAATAGATTTCTCCTATCACGTTTGTTTTGACAATGAATCAGTGGAGTAAGATAATA